TGATATGACTATATCTATAATATCTCTATGTGTACTAATTTTTATATGACTGAATTTAGGGTATAACAATGTAAAATCAATTAATTTAATTATATTAATAAATTATAATGTGAATATAATCATAACAATATAAACAAAATCAAATGAGAATATTATATAACAATACTTATAGTTTTGGTGGTTATTCAATATCAAACTTCTTGTCCAACATCTAACATAAAAAAGTTGATTGTTTTAATGATATTTCATTACAAAAATTACACTCTTTTTTGTACCATACCAACTTTTTAAATGGTACTTTTTATTATTGTTACTTTAGAAAATTAGCTTCATAACAAGCATCATTTTTTTTTGGAAGGATTCGGTGTTTGTAATGAGGACTGAAGGGTGTTATATACACCTGATCTGGGTTTAAGGTGAGTCCACGAGCACACCTCCTCCCGTTAGTCCCTTTCATTTTTTTTTTTTTAATTTTTTAAAAAATTTCACTATAGTACATGTATCAGATTTTTTTTTATTATTTAGTAAAAATTTAATTTTAAATCTCATGTAAATGAAAATATTTTATAGTATATGTTAACACTAAAAAATAGAATAGATGGTGTAAACCTGAGATCTTTATTGATAGAAAGAGTTTACAATGAAGAAAGAATGGTGATGGAAAAATAATCTACCTCTTTAGATTGATCCTCGAGATATTTATAGAATATTTACATAAAGTTATCCTAAAAATATAACTCTATTAGATAGGTGTTTGGGTATTCTAATTCTAATGGGTTTTATCTTATCTAATCTTGATAAGACTATATCTATAATGTCTCCATATGTACTAATTTTTATAGGACTAAATTTAGGATATAACATTTGCCTCCAACAAAAAAATTTGAGGGTAGCGAAAACTTCAACAAATGTCTCTCTTTTTTATTGTTCTGCTAATCTTGGTTCTAAATTCTGCGCAAGTTCCAGCTTTTCAACCATGGTTGTCTCATTAAAAACTTTAGTTAGTAAAAGCCCTTTGGGATAAAAATCTAACTCAAGGAAAAAAAGAATGCAGTGCAGGTTTTTTCTCCATGATTTCTGGTGCAGTTTCCTTATTTAAAAAATTTTTACTGTAATTAATTGTTCTGCAAATTTGTGCAGATTTGTTTAGGTTCTTTCTTTCATATCTCAACAGTTGCATTTTCCGAATTTCCTGCTTCTTGTGCAGCTTTTTATACACGTGGCCCCCATTCTTTGGTGTAGTTGGTACGATAAGTCCTTCCAAGTTCAAACCCCTATTTCCTTGGGATTTTGTGCAAGTTATCCTTTGGCTTTTCTTTATTTTTTCAAGTGGGGTTTCCGAATCTTCTTTCTTGTTTTTTTATTTTAACTTCTTTTATCTTTTCGGTTTCCTTTTGTTTTCTTTCTTTTCTTTTTTCTTTCTTTTGCCTTTTCGATTTCTTTTTCTAGAGAGAGGCTTCTCCAATTCTGTGTGCCGGTTGCGTCTGCCATGGCCATCGATCCTTCTGCTTCCAGTTCTTTACCGACTCCGGCTTTTGTTGGTTCTTCTACTGATTTGTCTAGGATGCAGGAGAGAAGTAAGGATCTGTTGAACCCTTGTGAATTCTACTTTAGAGAAGTCCGTTTCGGATCTAAGGGTGCAGGTTTCCTTTCTTCAAGCTTCGTCTTCCTCTATTATTCAGTCTTCTAAGGTGTCTCTTGAGGGTAGAGCCTTCACTCTTTTTGGTAGCTTGGGTTACTTCAATCTTGCTGTCAAGCTCATCAAGATGTTGTTGTGGAGGTTTAAGCTGATTTAAAGTTGAAGAAAGTTTATGATTAAGGTCCATCATATGTTCCTCTGGGTAGATCTCTGGTTGAAGTAAAGGAAAGATTGAGCAGCTTTTGGGACGCAAAGGATTTTACTACAACTATTCACAGTAGGAGTATGCAGAGGTTCTCAAGGTATCCCTTTTTAGCTTTTCGGACCTCTTGTTGAACATGTTCTTATGTTGCAGTGCATTGGTTGTGTTTTAAGAACATCTGCTTGCTGAACGAATGCTCTGTTTCCAACTCGAGTTTTGGTCATGCTCGGTATTGTGACTTTTCATTGAAACTATATCAAGATTTTTCTTAGGAAGCTGTGCTGCTTCTTTATCCATACTATAAGCTTTTATAGTTTTTTTTTTTTTTTGGTGAAGGTATCCTCATTTGTCAATGAGAATCCATGTTTTAACGACTAGTTAGCATTTGCCATGTCCCTTGTTTGGGGCTTAACTTTACACTCCAATTGGTTGCTATTGGTTTATGTTGCAAAAAATCTCTTATGTGCTGAGATTTGCATTAACCTTTGTAGCCTCACTTGTGTAACTTTTACCTAGGTATTTATGTACACCCAAATTTGCTCGTAGTTTTTGCTTTTGCCTGGGTGTTTATGTACACCCAAACGTGCTCACATCTTTTGCTTGGGTATTTATGTATACCCAAACTTGCTCGCAGCTTTCTCGTAGCTTTCTTACAGCTTTTGCTTGCATAACTTTTGCTTGGGTATTTATGTACACCCAAACTTGCTCGCAACTTTGTTATAGCTTTTGCTTACGTAACTTTTGCTTGGGTATTTATGTACACCCAAACTTGCTTGCAGCTTTTTCACAACTTTTGCCTGCATAACTTTTGCTTAGGTATTTATGTATACCCAGACTTGCTCGCAGCTTTCTCGTAGCTTTTGCTTGCATAACTTTTGCTTGGATATTTATATACATCCAAACTTGGTCGCAGCTTTCTTTTAAGATTTTTGCATGTAGAATTTTGAGATGTCTATCTTGCATTGCGAATGCAAAATTTGATTCATCATTTGATGTGGTTGAATGTGATTATGACAAAGCTTCTTCAAATATGGAGGTAGTTGTATTCACTGCCTTTTAACAAAGTGCTTGCTTTTCTATCTATCCAATGATAATGTTGTGTAGGTATTTGAGTCGCATCATAATTGAGCTACTAGATTTTGATATCCAGTACATTCTTGCATGTGACAGATGTTTGCTTATACATCTCTTACAAGCGCATGTTTATTTATTAGGTGCATTATGACTCTAAGGCCCCGTTTGGTATAGAGGTTTTGGGGTAGCGGTTAGCAGTTTTACCTAAACCACTAAATATAGGTGTTTGGTAAATTTATATATTTCGAAACCGCTATAAATAAAGTGTTTGGTAAAATTTTTATTTAGCAGTTTGAGACTAGCGGATAGCGGTTAGAGTCCAAACCGCTAGCGGATTGAAAAAGCTAGTTTATGTAATTTTTTGTACCAAACCGTTGACGGATTAAAATTTTTTAATTTTATTTACAAATTTATCCATTTTAATTTTTTAATTTGTGGTCACATTTTTTAATTAATAATTATCTAATAAATT